CTGAAAAGCTGGTATGGTCAAGACCTTGTTGAAGATATTCAGTATACTCTCATATTTTATATACACAATGAACACTAATATGAAATTTTTCTGCCATTTTCTTTGATGCATTTGGTATTTTTCCTCTCAAATTTCTGATTTCCTTAATATCAGACTCTGATAATTGGGTTGTATTAAATCAATAGAAGGTTTGATAAAGGTGAGTAACCATTTTTATTTTAATATATATTTTTAAAGAAAAAACATCAATATTTTTTCAATACATATTAATTTTATAGTAAATCAATATTTATTGAATCTTATTGATATGTATGGTTCTAGTACTAATACTTATTGGTATAAAATTAATACTCATTGATGTAATGCCAATACTTACTGATACATATTACTGTTATCATATCTATAAGTATTAATACCTATAGATTTTTTGAAAAATGTTTTTAAATAAAGTATTTATTATTTAATATGATCAATATGCATATACTACGAGATATCAATAAAGGCCATCGACTTAGTAGTATATATAAGCAAGAGCTAAAAAAAAAGTTATATATTGTTCTCAAATCTAAGACTGAAGTTAATGACCTTAGCAAGAAATTACAATATAAATATTCTAAGCAAGTGAAGACTTTCGATTGAGAAAGAAAAGAGTGGAATCAGAATTCATTATAAAATAATACTAAGATCCAAAAGTTATGCACCCATGCTTTACAGGTTATTAATAAGCATAAATAGCTACAAAATGAAAATACTAATCTTATTTCGCATAATGCACAAAAGGATATTTTTATTGCTGAATATAAGACTGAGAATATTATAAAATCCAAGAAAATCAAATCACTTGAGTCTATGATCAAAATATTGGAAAGTAAGTTGTCTTCAGCCTAGAAAGATGTGATTTTGATTTAAAATGACTTATCGAAAAAAAATTTGAGATATTATCCCTCAAGTCTAAAATAACTGAATTAGAAAATATAAAGAGCGAATTGGAATCAAAGGTCAATGAGTTTGAGTGTCTGAAATTGGAAGCTATATTGAAACCTATAGTTGGTGAAAATAACGAAAAAAATATTACCAAGTCTGATGATATATCTGCAGTTAATGAATCTAGTAAAGATCTCAATTAATATTTTGTATACGGAAAAAATATGAATTAAGCTGAAAAAATTGATAATAATATCTCAACAAAAACTAGTATCTTTGGTACTTGCTTCGCTA